TCTTGTATATATATGTATATGTATTTGTATATAAACTATAAACCGCTATATATATATACATATATATATATGCATCTTGTGGCAGAATGACTTTCACCTGTACGCAGGCGACAAACACGGACAACCGCATTTCAATCACAATCACAGTCAGGCTTTCGTCAAGATAAAAGTTTGTGCCGGTGCAACAACTCTGCGAGTGCGCGTGGCATATTTGTAAGTTTAATATTTGTCAATGCGGAATCTTTACAGCAACTTCTTTCACTGCCTGTTCTCCTGTTCTATATTTGTGTGTGATGTCTGTCAATGCAAGGTTCTTATTGCTTCTTCTTCTGCTTCCTCTTTTCCTTTTCTTTCGTCTCCGCTTGTTTGATATCCCAATTACCCATCTGTCCGGGATCATCAATGCGTTCGAAACGTCAGCGAATAACAAGATAAAATAAGAGACATATACACATATCGTTGTTGACAAATCACGTTCTGGACTCATAAAAACAAAACTCGCTAGAAGATAAGATCAGGTACACAGGCTATCTTCTACCAGCAGGAATCCGCTATCCTCATAGAACTATATATCAAGTTCATCCCCACAGACAATACTTTTGGGCACGATTATTACAGCACAGGCTCGTTTATACACACACACACACACACACACACACACACACATATATATATATATATGCATAGACTCCTCAGAATTAGAGAACGCGGCATAGAACCCCAATCACTACCGATGTACACTTTAACATAATCAGGATGGAGCTGTATGCTTTCAAGCACAGACACTTGCATACACTGAGCCATTCACAGAGAGATTTAGAACCGTTTATCCATGTGTAGCTATAAACACCCTCGCCCTCGAAACAATACATAGTTGAAGGCATACATACCCGGGTGTACTCCTCGTGCTTCCTCGTAAACACCTCAACGTAAAACGACGCGCCGTTCCACAGAGAGATAGACACCATAACGCAGAGAAAGACCACATTAAGCCAGTAGTACCGCCACAGGAAGTATGCGGGCGCGATCTAAAAATAGAACAGGAGATTTAACAAGAGGATAAACTCGAGGGTATGCAGAATGGATGACAGGCTGGGTGCGGTGGGGTTGGGGCCTCGGTTTAACGCAACAGCTGACGAAGAAGACCACATATAGTACAAAATGATACATTACTAAGCATGTAGCAATGTATAACTTGGAACAGGTATGAGGGTGGTTTGAAGGTAGAACTAGAGCGCTAGTTATGCAGAACGAGGGGATTTATATCGTGAAAATATCTACGGCGATAGAAAGAGAGCAGGATTCTATTTCATAAAACAAGATATTAAGTATTTTAGAGAGACAACAAGAAATAAGTTTCATCTCATGAAACAATAAGTAATCTAGAGAAAAAAACAGGAATCATCTCATGAAGCAATATAATACGTATTCTAGAGTAGAGAACAGGAATCATCTCATAAAACTATATAATACGTATTCTAGAGAAAAAAACAGGAAATATCTCATGAAACAATGTAATACGTATTCTAGATGAGAAAACAGGAATCATCTCATGAAACAATAAAATACGTATTCTAGAGAAGAGAAAAACAGGAACCACCTCATGGACAGATATAAAGTAACCTGAAGGGCACTCACTACCTTGGCGATACTCTGAGGTGTTTACGTTTACTGCGGTCATGTGAAGAATAGCCCAAACACATAAGCAGTAAGTACGCGTGTTCCGCATCCGTAGCTATTCACTAGTGCCATACCATACACCAGAGTTACAATATGATTAAGGTACTACGTTGATCCCCTACCTACCTGCACCTACCTACTTGAACCTACCTACCTGAACCTACCTACCTGTACCTACCTATCCACGCCTGGAAATGGCACTACACAAACTAGGTTTTGACATCAATCCACGCACCGTGAGATAAAACAAATTTGCTAGATTTGTTTACGTACCATGAGTGTGAACAATTTTGCGAGATTTGTCTACGTACCATGATGCGAACAAATTTGCGACATTTGTTTACATACTGTGAGCGATGCGTATACCCCATTCAGGAACACATAAAAGGCAGGCGCCAAACTCTCTCCAAACACGTTGATGACTTTTCCTGGGAGCCCGTGCCTAAAGAAAGAATAGAATAAATATAGAACACATGAGCTGAAAATAGCAAACGTGTATGCTTGCCTGTATACACGCAAGCCTGCTCCAAAGACCTTGATGGCGCTCTCCATATATAAATACACACACACACACACACACACACACACACACACACACACACATATATATATATATATATAATATACATATTTGTATGTACATGCACAAATATATCGCAGAGATGGACGTGAGGTAGAATCTGTCAAGTACTCAGGCCATACCCTACAAAGACGTGCTATGGAGTTAGTCCAGTTTCCAATAGTTGAGAAAGATTGGCTCCAAATGGCATACACGTCTCTGAAGTGCACTTCGGTAATGCGTACTAGTACGGGTATGGCACACAGAAAGGTCCGGGAACCTAATGTTTCTGACACCCTAGACCCTAAACCATCGTGCTTTTTCACACACGCATTTCTGGAACACTCTTACATGTGACACTATTCTTGTCACAGGGCAAAGTTTGTTTGCTTGGAAGCCACGCCTAGAAACACATTCCCAATACCGCACAGCCACACACGTACAAATACAGGGACAAACTATGATAATCACAGCATGCCATGGTCACACATAATCGTAAGCGTGTACACACAAATATTAGAGACAAAGTGAACACGCACACTATATATATATGTACATATGCATAAGTATTCATACTGCACAGATACATCTCCGGCAACGCAATTAGATGTATCCGCATTTAAAAACCTGAAAGTGCGCATACTTTTGTAAAAACTTAAAGCTGGTGAGGTACTCTCCCTCCTGCATCTTCTTGCGCTTCACCACCCCAACAACAAAGAAATAGTACACCTCATGTACAATGAACGCCGCCGTTGGAATGGCCACAACTTGCCACAGATCAGGCTCACACGCTTCATCGGCGCATACAGCATAGGTATCTGAGAATGAAGCAAGGGATAGGGGTGGTGAAGGATTATAAAATGTGTATCCATATACTTATGCGTGAATACAAGATAACATATATATATATATATATATATATATATATATATATATATATATATATATATATACTATATATATATATATATATAATAACAACACAACACACACACACACACACACACACACACACACACACACACATATATATATATGTAAACACTCACGCACACACACACACACACACACACACACACACATATATATATATATATATATAGTATTTACGGATACATACACATTTCTATATATATCCGTACCTTCATACATACATACACACATACGTATTTATACATATATAT